AGCAGAAGCTTAACTTATAGTAGGAGTGATTGTTGTTTAAAATGTCTTGCAGCTAAGGTGGAGATACGCTTTCCATTTTAAAGTGGCTTTGACGGGGGTGGCTCAGTTGGTTAAGCGCCTGACTTCAGCTCAGGTCATGATCTCACAGTTTGTGGGTTCGAGCCCCGCGTCAGGCTCTGTGCTGACAGCTTAGAGCCTGAGCCTGCTTCAGATTCCGTGTCTCCCTCTCTCTCTGTTCCTCCCCCACTCATGCTCTGTCTCTCTCTCTCTCTCTCTCCTTCAAAAATAAATAAAAACAGGGGCGCCTGGGTGGCGCAGTCGGTTAAGCGTCCGACTTCAGCCAGGTCACGATCTCGCGGTCCGTGGGTTCGAGCCCCGCGTCGGGCTCTGGGCTGATGGCTCGGAGCCTGGAGCCTGTTTCCGATTCTGTGTCTCCCTCTCTCTCTGCCCCTCCTCTGTTCATGCTCTGTCTCTCTCTGTCCCAAAAATAAATAAAAAACGTTGAAAAAAAATTAAAAAAAAAAATAAAAACATGAATAAAGTGGCTTTGACGAATTTGAGAATTAGGAGAGAATTCAACAGGCCAGGGCAAGGATAATCTTCAAAAGAAAAAATATGCGACAGAAATGATAAAGGCGGCATACAAGAAGGCCTTGGGGTGAACTGACTACAAGCTGTTTTCAGGTCAGCCACACTGCATATTATTTCTTAAAAGAAGCACAATCCTAGGAACTATAAATGAAAAACAGCCTTCAGTTCTGGTCAGCTTGGTTGTAACAGTTTTGGAAAGCTCCTTAAAATAATTTAAAAGAAAAAGGAGAGAGAAAGTTTGATGAAGAAAATGAAGTTTGAGGTTTTCAGGTAATGCTGGGTAGAGGACTCCTGGCACCTAATGTCAGCAGGGATTGTTTGCTGATATCCTTTCCACAACAGGCTACACGTGGTGTTGGTTTCCTATTTTTCCTCTCCTCTTTCTTACTTTCTATATTGTTTCTTTTCCCTTTCCCCTGCCTGTGCCTTTGAACTATGCCTGGGATAGCTCGTCCCTGTTAGTGGCAAGTGAAGGCACTTCGAAGAAGGTAGATTGATGTAATCGTGTTTGGAGTCTGAAGGATAAAAGGGAGAAGCATGACGATCGATCTAAGGTTCCGGTAAGAAGGGTTGATACATTAAAAAAAAAAACATTTTTTTAATGTTTATTTATTTTTGAGAGAGAGAGAGAGAGAGAGAGAGAGAGCGCGAGCAGGGGAGGGGCAGAGAGAGAGGGAGACCCAGAATCCGAAGCAGGTTCCAGGCTCTGAGCTGTCACAACACAGCCCCACGCGGGGCTCAAACCCACAAACCACGAGGTCATGACCCAAGCCGAAGTCGGACACTTAACTGACTGAGGCACCCAGGCACCCCAAGGAGGGTTGTTCATTTTAAACATTCTCTGTTAACTTTAGTTTGTAAGTAGTAAAAGTCAAAGCTTCAATTTGAATATTCTGGTGCCCTCTAATTGTTTTGAGAAGCAAAAGCACGTTCGTTAACATATCAGCTCAGACCACACATCTGGTCTGTGACAGGTAAGGGTTGTAAAACAGCCTGGATGCACTGTTACCTAATCTCAAAAGATTAGGGATATAGCTGGTGTGCTCCTTAACAGCTCACTTTTATTATGTTTATTTATATATCTGGCCTGCTTTGTCAGCTTTGCCTGCTTTGTAAGCTCTTAGGGGATAGAGATTGTGTTTCATTCATTTTATATTCCCTACTTTTTTTTTTAATGTTTATTTATTTCTGAGAGGGAGAGAGTGCAAGCAGGGGAGGGAGGGACAGAGAGAGGGAGACACAGAATCTGAAGCAGGCTCCAGACTCTGAGATGTCAGCACACAGCCCAAGTCGGACACTTAACCAATTGAGTCACCCAGGCACCCCCACTTTTAACACAGTGATTTGTCTGCAGAGGCATACAATACGTATTTGTGGAATATCAAATTCACAGACACATATACACACACACACACATTTTTTTTTTGAAATTCAAAACTCCAATGACCATATTTTCCAAACTAAAAAAATCAAGATACATAGTCTGAAAAGGTGGAGTATAGTTATGAGGACTATATGGCCAAAATACTTGAAATGTTATTCCAGAAAATATCAGGTGATGGAATCACTTTAATTGCAGTATTCAGCCCAGGGGTTCTTATCCTGTGGTCAGTGGAGCTAAAGGAGTCTCTGGATGGAAGCAGATGGTCCTTCATCTTGGACAGAAAGAAATCTTATCTTTCTTTTCAGCAATGTCCAACTAAAACTTCGCATTTTCCACCATCGTGAATACGGGCAACAAACCACAGTAGAATTAGCATCTTTCACTCTGTCACCAGTAGAAATCACAGACATTTTCATATCACATTATAGTTATCATGGACTTCTTGAATACCTTCTCATGACTACTTTAAAATTTCAGTAGTTAGAGCGCCTGGGTGGCTCAGGTGGTTAAGCGTCTGACTCTTGGTTTGGGCTCAGGTTATGTGATCTTGTGGTGATCAGTGAGAGCGGGTCTTAGTCCCACTCTGTGCTCTCAGCACAGAGCCTGCTTGAGATTCTCTCTCCCTCTCTCAAAATAAAAAACTTAAAGAGAAGGGAAAAAGAGGGGTGCCTGGGTGGCTCAGTTGGTTAAGTGTCCGACTTCGGCTCACGTCATGATCTCATGGTTTGTGAGTTCGAGTCCTGTGTCGGGCTCTGTACTGACAGCTCAGAGCCTGGAATGAGCTTCAGATTCTGTGTCTCCTACTCTCTCTGTCCTTCCCCCGCTCACACTCTGTCTCTGTCTCAAAAATAAATAAACATTAAAAAAAACAAGAAAAAAAAGAAATACTTTAAAAAAGTTAAAAAATAAGGGGTGTGTGGGTGGCTCAGTGGTTGGACATCCAACTTCGGCTCAGGTCGTGATCTCACAAACTGTGAGATCATGTGTGAGGTTTGAGCCCTGCGTTGGGCTCTGTGCTGACAGTTCAGAGCCTGGAGCGTGCCACGGATTCTGTGTCTCCTTCTCTCTGCCCCTCCCCTGCTCGTGCTCTCTCTCGCTTTCTCAAAAATAAATAAACATTAAAAAATACATAAAAAGTTAAAAAAAATTCAGTAGTTATTTGATCTACTGCAAGATCTTGATATTTCATGTTAGTAAAGACTACTGTATCACAAGTTTGTTCTTAAAATATATTAATGTATTGTGTTTCAATATAAAGTTTCTTTTGTAATGCTATGTATTTTATTTTTAAATCTAGAAGAGATCCATAGTTCTTATTGGACTGTCAAAGGACACTAAAAAGGTTAAGAACCCTTGAGCTAGAAAGAGGTTAATAAAGTTTCAACTTTGAGGTCCCTCACTTTTACCATGCCCTTCCAAGATTGTGTTTTTCAATTTTTTTTTTAAATCATTTTATGTTACTTCTCACAAAGATCCCAGCATTTGTGTAAGTTTCACTAATCCAAAACTTGGATCCACTGAGACATTTAGCTTGGTACTGGGCATAGGTTTTTATTTTTTAATTTTAAAGTTTATTTATTTAGAGAAAAAGAGAGAGAAAGAGAAGGTGAGCACAGGAGGGGCAGAGAGAGACTCCCACGCAGGCTCCAACTGTCTGCTCCAGAGATGGAGGCCCGACTGGAACTAACGAAGGGCGAGATCAGTACCTGAGGCGCAATCAAGAGTCAGACACTTAGGGGCGCCTGGGTAGCTCATTCCTTAAGGGTCTGACTTCCTTCCGCTCAGGTCATGATCTCACATTTGGTGAGTTAGAGCTCCACACGGGGCTCTTTGCTGACAGAACAGAGCCTGCAGCCTGCTTCTGATTCTGTTGTCTCCAGATCTCTCTCCCCCTCCCCGCTCCCCAGTAAATAAATAAATAAACCTTTAAAGAGACGCTTAGATCACCCAGGCGCCCCCACATAATAGGTTTTTAATAATTAATTTGGGGCTGGTCGGTTCTGAGAAACTTAATTGATCCTCTGGTGTATCTGGAAATCCTGCAGACCACTGCTTGACCTTCTCCAGTCCCTAAGAGGAGTAGGGTATTGGATGTTGGGATAGGGAAGAGCTGGGCAGGTTGTGGGAGGAGACAGGCTTTGGACTAAGGCGAGGATAGGGAACAAACCGGTAAGGGCGGAGGGTAAGAAATAGGTTTAGGAATAACAGGAATTTGCTTCCTTTGGGACTTAGCTCTTTTCCCCCCGCACAGCTCTTTTGGCTTCACGCATGCGTATGTCTGCCTTACTACTTCATAAAAAATGAGCTTCAAACCCTGTGGGAAAAAAGGTCCCTGTTCCAGCACGTGTGAGTTGACACTGCTCTTGGGTCATGCCAACTTTGGCGATTTCCCTCACATTCTGAGCTGACCCAGTGACGTGTGGAAGGGAGCCAGGGGGCAGTTTTCCGATCCGAGGGATGATTTTCTACGTGAAACTCTACAGCCAGACGGCCGGCCAAATCATTCTTAAACCGCGTTCCAACCATCGCCCAAAAGATGACCCAGAGGGAGGCCCGACCGCGTGGCGGTGGGCGTGTCTGGGGCGAACGCCGGCGGCGCGAGAGGGATTAGGGACGCCTCGGCGCGGGCGAAGGGACGGGAGGGTCGCGGCGGAGCGAGGCCCGCGGGGACAGCAGGGGGCGGGGTTCCGGAGGCGGCCACGCGGCCTAGCTTTTCGGTCTCGCCCCGGCGGCGAACGAGGAAGGAAGAATCCCGGCTTCTCAGGGCCTGGTGCCCCGCAGCCTCGCCTCTACCCGGGGCTTCACCACAGACCCCTTTGTGTTCCTGCCCCCGCCCCGGAGGCGCCCCAGCCGGCGGCGCTGACTTCGCTCATTGGCTCAGCCGATGGCTTCATCGATTGGCTCCCTTGTCCCCCTGCGTGAGCCGCTGCTTCTCGCTACTATTGGGCGCCTGGGCTGCCTTTCAGGCCGCCGCGCGAAATGATTGCCCGGCCACTCGGAGTCCCTGGAAGCAGTTCCGGGAAACCCCGCGTGCTGCCGGGATCGCGTCTCTGTCCATGAGGGGGGGAGGGGGTGGCGCGCGCGCCATTTCTAGTCGTTTTCAAAGCGCCTCGCGCTGATTCTCACGGGCCCGGCCGGCGGCCCCAGCTCTGCCCTGGTGAGTCTCGCGCCGGCCCGTGGGGGGAGGGGCCGGGAGCCCCGATCCGACCCGACGGGGCCCATCCCGGGCTCGGCGTCTCGGGCCCAGTTTCGTTTTCGCACCGAGGCCCCGGGGTGGGGGTGGGGATGGGCTGGGGGCGGCTGCGGCTTCGGCCTCGTCCGGCCGCGCCGCGGAGGGCCTAGCCCCGCCGAGGCGCCTCCTCGCCCTTGCGCATCCTCCCCCCGCCCCTCCAACCCTCGGCCCGCGGTCCGCTTCGCCGGGTGCTCTCCGCGCGGCCTGCTGGGGACGGCCGTGTTTTTCCCGCCTCCGCCGGCCGCTCCACGCGGCCGGCCGGGCGGCCTAAGGCTCCCGCGGCCCCTTCGTCTCCCCCCCCCCCCCCCCCCACTCCGGAGCCGCTTCGCTCTCGTCTCGGCCGGCCTAGCCACGAGTGGGATGTGTTACCGATCGGGACGGGCCTGAGGAGGTGGGGTGGGCAGGGGGCGGGATGCAAACCCGGGGTTACCTGAGCCGGGAGAAAACTTTTGTGCGAGCTGGAGCCCAGGGGCCGATGTGTGTAGGAAGCCTTCCTCCCCTCCCCAACGCTGCATGCTGCGAGCCGAGATTTGAAGGAAAAAATGACTACTAGAGGCCACGAAACTTAGGCTTCGAGCGGCGTCTGAGAGGCACGATTCTGAGACTGTCACAGGCGCACCAAATTGGAAGGGCGATTCTTTCTCTTAGGCGGCAGTAACCGTGTTGCCACAAGATGAAACTTAAAGCCAAGGGGTTCTTGAAAGGTTCGGTCCTTTCACGCTGACCTGTTTGAGATTTTTGCTGTCCCTCAAGAGGCTGAATTTATGTCTCGTGAGTCAGTCGCAGGATAAGGGCTTGACACTCCTAGCCCGTGAGATGACCGTTAGTTTTCATTTCTTTGGTCCTTTTAAAGCCCGTCTCTTAATATGAAGAATTTGCGCAGAGATGTTCAGAAAAAGTCAGGGAGATGTTCAGAAAAAGTGCTGACTTCCCAAATCTCCCAGCAGCCCTTTACAATCTTATTTAAATGTTTCCTTTTTGCAAAAATGCTTATCAAATGACTCTAGTCACAGTACATTTGCTGCATCCAGAAATATGGTTTGGCTGTGTGGCATTGTGTTGAATTGACACAAGAGTTTTAAACGATCTATGACATAAAAGACTTTTTTTTTTTTTAAATGAGCACATTGTATTTGGCTTGAGAGAGGTTTTTTCCTTGGTCCGAAAGGTTTTATTTTCTGGAATCTGATTATTTTACTTTTTTTGTTGTTAAAGTTCACAAACTTTTTGAAAATTCCAACCGATTTCAGAATCAACTTGTAGGAGAGCCTTTGCAATGAAATGATGGTCATAAATGTTTCTGTCTTGTGCTTAATGACACAACTTGTCTTTTTGCTTTACACATACTTAAAAAAAATACCACCTTACCAGATGTTCGTTGAACTTTCCTGTTAAAAATTTGCTTCTTTTCTGTGGCTAATAGAATTCCCAGGTGCAATACTGTAAGGGTCTTGTGATACTGAGAACTTTTGAGTTCTGATGATCTTAATGGTTGTATTTGGGGGTGGGGGAACGTGGGCAAACAGAACTATATGTTCGCAGATTTTGGACTTTAGAGTGCATCTTTATAGAAATAGGTTGTATTAATCAGTAAACGTATTCATCTTACACTGTAAGTAGTTTCTTGATCAAAAGCGTGCCAGTTTTGAATGTTTTCGTTTTTGCCAATTCATCAGAATTTGAGGCTTGCCTTGAGAAACATTTCTCCACCCAGAGTTTAACCAGAGTCTGCGTCTGTATAGACATTAGTGGGCTATCAAGTCTTAACGTTTGTAATCATAAGAAGTCATATTTATCTTATTTTCCGAATAACCCTTTTTGCATTTTCCTCTCTTCCTGTTCTCTATTACCTCCTTCCCCTTGGTCTTCCTCCCTTTTTCATTAATGTCAACTAAGTATCTGTGGACTTGGAGATGAAAAGAAGTTGTTATAGGTCAGAAAACTGCACCTGCTGCATTTGCACAGTGGTTGATAAGCAATTTGGAAGTGTGGTTATCGCGGGTTTTAGTGCTTTTTAGGAAGCTTGTATTTTCTTTCTAGCTAACTGGGGTACCTTGAGGTTCATCAAGAAAAGTAGGCTTCTTCTTGAGATCCACCTTCATGTCCTTTATTTCAGTATTTGTTGCAATGTCTTTATTCTGCTGCTTATTATCTTCATCACATTCACTACAGACCAGTGCACTTTAATTCCCTGTCTTTTAGAGGCAGTGTAGAGACTGGCCTTATATGGTTTTATTATCTAATCTCTCTCTTCAGGGAGTTGGTCCATTTCAGCATTACATACAGGTTGAACATACAAAAAAATAATTTGGGTAGGTTAATCTGGGACATCTGACCTAAGTTTACCCTAATTTAGGTAATGTTTGTTGAAACTATTTGGAAGAAGTTAGCTGTCCATTCTTCAATATGTTTTTGGAGCTTTATTTTACTGATATGAAAAATTCAATACGTACTCATGATTTTTTTTTTTTAAAGAAGCAACCTCAATTATAGCTCATGTTTTATTTTATGTGGACTTAACACAATCGTTTAGCTTTTAAACTTGGTCATTTTTTCTTTTAAATCTGTGAATGGGAAAATAGCAAATTAATTTTAGAAAAAAATTAATGTCAAGTTGTGTTTTTTCTTTTTTAAGTGAGGCGGAGAAAACCCAAACCACCAGCATGTTGAACTAGAGACAGCAGAGCATTTATTTCACACCTATCCTAGATTTGAAGCAGAACTAGGATAATTTGAAAGTCCCTAAACTTTGATGAAGTGGTCTGTGGGTGTTCATTGTTTCTAAATCAAACTTTTAAAACTGTATAAGAATTGAGAGCTGATGGGCTTTTTAGGATTTTGTGATTTGTTGATATGCTTGTGAGGACACAACAGCTGCTTTTGTTAATCAGCAATTCTACCTTTAGTAAATTCAAGCCTTTTTTTTAACCTGGTGTACATGAAGTTCCTTAAAGATCTGATGCTTCCATGTACATTTTTTACGGTTTTACAGGATTATTATTGCAAATTTAGGTCAGATACATCACAAAAGGCATATAATATTATTTTGATAGAGTTTATTAGCAGCATGTATACAAATTAGTTTAGATAAATCATGCATTGTCCTACAAACTAGTTATTTCTGGCTTAATGTAATATAGCTCCTGAATTTTTTCCAGCAGCATAATAAAATGGCTAATCAGGTGAATGGTAATGCGGTACAGTTAAAAGAAGAGGAAGAACCAATGGATACTTCCAGTGTAACTCACACAGAACACTACAAGACACTGATAGAGGCAGGCCTCCCACAGAAGGTGGCAGAAAGACTTGATGAAATATTTCAGACAGGTATAATATGCATTTCTTGTTTCTGACTGGTTATGAAAGTGAGGGCAAACCACTTTGAATTTTATAGATTTTTTTTTTTAAGGTTAAATAATACTTATTGTTTCTGATCTATGTAGAGCTGAATGTTTGTTACTTTCCCTTCATTGAGGGCATATTGGGTTTGACTTTGATATTCTTATTTCATTATTTTGAAGCCTTCTTAGTGTTGAATATGCAGTCTTAGTTGTTTCAGAACGGTACATCAATTTGTCTTAGATTTACCACCAATTAAAATGTATGTTTCAGCATACCAAATTTTACATTTTCTTAATCTAAATCAGTCATCATTTTGCTTTTACTTTTCTACTTTTAGCTTCTTAAAGTGATTGTTAAATCAGCTTAGGTCTGATTAGGTGGCATAATAAGAGGACTGGTGAGACTGTATTGTCTGAAACGATAATAAATGTCAGACTTCTTGAGAGTTTGTGGCCTGTCTAAGTTTCTAATAGACAAAAATCCACATCTCTCAGTAATTTGGAAGTGTTTGGTTTGTAACAGCTGCTTTTAAAAAAAATCTAGAAGTCCCATGGATAAGTGCTTAAGCAAATATGAATATCTTAATATGGTTGGTTGTAAGTGGTTTGAAGTTTTAAAGAGGGAGAGAAATATTTACCCTTAGGGAGTGTTGTTCATAAATAAATGTGTCCTCCCCCTTTGGGGCCATAGATGGAAACTTTCTTCCTCTGTGTTTTGTGTGCCTATCCAGATTTGGGAGAGAGAATTGAATTGTCTGACAAATGTGTCTTAAGTACTCTAGTAACAAATATCTGTTTTTTTGTCCTTAAAATTTTTTTTTTTTTTTCAAATCTGAGAAGCTTAGGATAATTTTAGACATTAAAATGACTTTCTAAAAATGACTCCTGGGTGATGGTTCCATTTGAAAATCAGTCCTCAGGAACTTGCCGTGACATTCTGCCATAGAGAATTGGCAGTGATTTGCTCAGAGATGCTCTCTTGTAGAGTGTTTGTTATTGATAAGAGGCTGATGGTTTGGGTGTAGGGTTGGATTGACAGAATGGATTGATGGGTGTCCTGAGTTGTGGCTTTGGGTGGTGGTATGGAATATGGAAGTAAGGAAACTCCAATTATTTAGGCATGCTCATTTTGAGCTTTTAAAACAAATCTTGGCAACATTTTCTTAAAGTAACTTTACAAATGGCATTACATTTATTTAAAATATATTTATTGTATGGAATAACGTTCTTTTTGGCTTTATCAAAATGGAGTCACTTTTGATGTTAGTTCATATGGACTCGGGTTTTAATCTGCCAAATATTTCCATTTTACATTGGATCAATTCTGAAATATATTCTTACATAGAGAGAAACACAACACAAACTTAACAGACTTAAGAAACTATATTATAAATTGAGTAGTTGTTCTGTGTGCAGTTAATATATGTATAGATTGCAGTGCCAATATATTTTCTGTATAGTTTACTTGTAAGTCCACAGTAAAGTCCTTAATGCCATTTGAAAAAAAATAGTCATTATTGACAGTGTTGTGAATGCCACAGCATCTTTTAAACCTCAGCTTGACACACATCAAGAGAACAAAAGATTGCCTTAAATGACTTTCAGAATTGATTAATCAAGCTGCACTTGCATTTGTAGAAGAGTTTAAAATTATGCCTTTCCACATTCTGATTGCAGCAAAGTGGATGCTCAGATAAACAAATCAATTTCATTTTCTCTTTGGTGCTAAGGAGGAAAAGCCTTTGATACCTTTTGGAGAGTGGAAAGAATTATTTAATAAAAATGGTTTCTTTTTTTTTTTTCCTCCCACCTCTTGTGTGGTTAGCAACGACTACAGCAGTCCATATAATTTGAAGGTTGATCCTTGGGGAATACAGTGTATGCTTACTACTCTAACATAAATCAGAGTTTGTTATATTAATGCTTAATCTGTAGTACAGTGTGTGCATCAGATTTAACTTCCAAACCTTAAACCTTTTGGGGAGTGGGAAACGGGGTTAGGATTTTTGTGGGGTTTTTGTGGGATGTGGGGATTGAAATTTATGTTTATAAGTTGTTGACATTTTATCTCTTATTTTCATATTTGTACTCTTGACCTTTCTGTGTATATTGTATTTGTATAGCTGCCTGTATGCATATTCAGTGAAAATGCAGTTTGTTAGTAATAGTGTCGAATATAACAATTCTTGATTAAACATTGATAGCACAGTTTAGATTATCCCTTTTGTTGCAGTAACATTACTCCTTTTCAATTTAATTTTTAGGATTGGTAGCTTATGTCGATCTTGATGAAAGAGCAATTGATGCTCTCAGGGAATTTAATGAAGAAGGAGCTCTGTCTGTACTACAACAGTTCAAGGAAAGTGACTTATCACATGTTCAGGTAAGGCCATTGCTAGAAATGCCTTTGAACAACTCATGATCTGAAATTACTTTACCATTACTTTTTTCCTGAGGGAGTTGGTATTTTTTTGTTTGTGACTACCTCCACTTCTTTTAAAAAAATTAGTCCAAAGAAAAGAAAAACCTGCTTATGGCAAAGAGTTTTCAGAAACAAAAGTGTTAAGTAAAAGTCTCGCCCCACTTTGCAGTAAGTTACTTTAAAAACAGGGTTTGCTCATTGTTATTAGTAGGTTTTTACATGTTTAGATTCCTGCGATCTTAAACATTTTTGGGTTCTCTGATTCTGTTTTATTATCTTGGAGGGAAATAATGTAGATAAGAATAGTTTTGGAATGTCTGGCAAAGATAATCCAGACGCACTTGAATATGAACAAAATAGAAGACTGTTTTGCCAGTGTGGAAGGTAAGCTCCCTGAGGTCTTGGCTCTTACCCTCTGCTCCAGTCTCCAGTACATAGTAGCCTCTCGGCAAATATTTGGTGGGTGAATTAATGAGTAAATATTTTGTTAAAATTCTTGTCTTTTGAAATTGTAATTTAATTATGTATTTGACCTTTCGACAATTCCTGGTGGTTCTTTTTCATTGAATTACTTGCCTGTTCTAGAACAAAAGTGCATTTTTATGTGGAGTTATGAAGACCTACAGGCAAAGGGAGAAGCAGGGGAGCAAGGTGCAAGAGTCCACAAAGGGACCTGATGAAGCAAAGATCAAGGTAAAACTTGACTTGGGTAGTCGTGGTGATACTAAGTTTAATGATGAGATTGAAGGTTTTTTTTCATGTTTTCTAGGAAGTTTTTACAGTTCCACTTTTTTTTTTTTTTTTTTAAACTAGCGTTTTAGAAATGAGATAATCTAAGGAAAATTAAGAAGCATTTCAGGGGCAAACATTCAATTGTATGTTTGGTGAAAAGCCCTAATTCAGACTCTTGCCTCATTACTTGTTCTTCTGACTGTGCATGGTACATGTTTATTGATGCTTCTGATAATAGCTTTTTAGATTGATTCAGTCATGTCTCTTGGTTTGGTGTCTTTCTAAGCACTTTGTTTCTCTTTATCTACTTCAGTGTCCTTGTTTGTACACTGGGAAGAGTGATAGTACCCATCTCATAGAGTTGTGAGGATTAAAGGAATTAAGATATGTCACGTGCTTGGAATAATGCCTGGAATGTGGCAAGAACTGTGTAACTAGTACCTATTACTGTTACTGTCCTTGAGATAAACTTCCCTGAAAGGTGAATATAGGGCTTTTGGTGAAAGACCAGTGAACCTAATTCCTTTGTTAAATGGATGTTGATGTTTTATTGCCACAGAGATAGACTTTTCAAGTTGAAATAGTTACTTTACTTAATGAAGCTGTTTGTGCAGTCTTATGTTTTAGACAGGAAATAGAACTTGTGGCTTCTATCATGGAACTGGTTTACATAAACCTCCTTTTGTACCTTTTCCCCCCTCATCTATAAAATGGCATGACCCATTTTTTTTTTTTTAAGTATTTACTTATTTATTTTGAGAGAGAGAGTGGGAGCAGGGGTGGGGCAGAGAGAGACAGGGAGAGAGAGAATCCCAAACAGGTTCCACGCTCTTAGCGCAGAGCCCAGTGCAGGGCTCAGACTCTTGAACAGTGAGGCCCTGACCTGAGCCAAAATCAAGAGTTGGATGTTCAACCCACTGAGCCACCCAAGCACCCCTGTATTTTTTTTTTTTTTTAATTTTTTTTTCAACGTTTATTTATTTTTGGGACAGAGAGAGACAGAGCATGAACAGGGGAGGGGCAGAGAGAGGGAGACACAGAATCGGAAACAGGCTCCAGGCTCTGAGCCATCAGCCCAGAGCCTGACGCGGGGCTTGAACTCACGGACCGCGAGATCGTGACCTGGCTGAAGTCGGACGCTTAACCGACTGCGCCACCCAGGCGCCCCACCCCTGTATTTTTATTTTAAATGTTTTTTTTTTTTTCAACGTTTATTTATTTTTTGGGGGGGGGGACAGAGAGA